AATAAAATAAAATAAAATAAAATAAAATAAAATAAAATAAAATAAAATAAAATAAAATAAAATAAAATAAAATAAAATAAAATAAAATAAAATAAAATAAAATAAAATAAAATAAAATAAAATAAAATAAAATAAAATAAAATAAAATAAAATAAAATAAAATAAAATAAAATAAAAAGAAGCTCGTGAGCACATATCCTTAAGACCTGCTGCAGATGGTCAAAGCATGCTTTCAATTGCCCTACAGAAGAGAATATGCCTTAAATGTATCTTATTGGTAATAAGACAAATGAGGCTGAGGCTGGAGCTGGAAAGGTGGGGCAGCAAACACAGTGTTTGTGGTAAGAGTACAAGGACTTGAGCTTGGGTCCCAAGAACCTACGGAAAAGAATGAGCTTGGTGGGGATGGGCCCTGTAGTAGGTGTCTGTAACCCCAGCATAGGTAATGAGAGGGAGAGAGGCCAGCCAAATTGATGACCATGGTTCAGTGCAAGATCTTGTCTCAACAGGCAAGGTGGAGAAGCTAAGGAAGAAGACAACGAGCTTCAGCACCCACCTAACAGATGTACACATACGCATATGCGTGTGTGTATCTACACACGTTAACATATAAAGAAGCTAATGAAGCGGGGAGAATGAGAACCACTGCTTGTTTTCTGTCGTGTATAAAATCTAGATCTATATATGTGGGTATACGATACATGACATAAAAGCAAAAGGGAGACTATTTGAGGGAAGAAGGTGACCAGAATGAGGTGGGAAAAGTGACACCGTTAGAGTAATGAGAGGTGAAGCCAGCAAAGCCGGATGCCACGTATGCACGAAATGTCACAGTCAAGTCCCTTATTTAGCTGTCAATATTAATTAATCTTAGGTTCGATAGTGGTCACACAAACACACACAGCATTAGTCCTGTTTACAATCTCCATGCCGGTACTCCTGGTTCCAAGAGGATGGGACTCCAGTCTGCATCTGTAGCACAGTCAAGACCAGACCTTCATCACTCTCCTTGAATCTTTCACGTTCTCTTGACTGTAGCTTTCATAGCAGCTGAATTTATTATTCTTGCGTGTCTGAATGAAAGTCGGAGAATAAGGAGTTTCTATTTTTTCTAGAATAAAAATAGGTTTTGAAAGTCTCCTGCGAGTGAAAACTATGAACACTTGTATCTTTGAGTAATCTCTTCAGACTTATCCTGTGTGCCTAAGCAGGAGCCCGGGAACGCTTTTACCTGTTCCAAGCCTTTGGATTTCTGATGAGTTTTCCTATGAATATTACTTACCCTTCTAGAAAAAGCTTTTGTTTATTTTCTTTCCTTTTACTGCCTCTGTGTCCTGAGCACCAGCCAGTCTGATTTGATTTCCCTGTGGGCTCCTGCCAGCTTTGCATCAGTGCAGAGCTGAGCTGAACTGCTGGGAGGATAGACGAGTCCCTCCTGACAGGCCTTGTTACAGGACAGCTATGCCTCAGACATAGAGAGACACCAGAGCCTCCACAAAGCTCAAAGCAGAATCAAGATGACTGGTTCTGTCTGGGAGGCCACTGGTATGGCAGGGTGGCTTGAGCTACTATTCCTCACTTTAAACAACTTCACCCTTCTGGTAGGGTCTCAGTTGGATAAATACAGCCCTAAAAGGTGTCATTTGGTTTCAACGCAATTACTATACAAAGAGAAACCTAAGCCAGGAATTGTCTAAAAGGACTCAATCATAAATGGCTCCAAACATATTTATATGGCTGGCTGTTTTAAATTATCACAAAACAAAAACAAATTATCAAGTTTTTAATATATATATATATTCATTCTTCTGGGAGTCCTTGGTATAGAAATCTCTACTTCTGTTTCAAGCTTGGCCATTTACTGGCAGGGTGAACTTACACAAATCATATTTCCTAGACTGTAAAATGTAGTAAAACTCCTATGAGTTTTTGTGAGGTTTAAGGGAGAAAAGCCATGCCAATAACTTAGCATAAGGCTTGTCATATGACAAATATCCAATAAAGAAATTACTTTTATGATGCTCAAGAAATGATAATAAACTGCAGACAACACAATAAGCAATTTTTGATTCAGAAATTAGAAGGCAGAAATACAAAAGCGTGTGGGGAGGGAAAACTTAGGATTCTCAGCCCAAAAAGTAATGAGTGTGAACACTGTTCAATTATGCTGCCACCCTTAGTATTAATTATTATAGAGCTGTGCTCTGTGTGCACAGCTAATGAGCCTCCAAAGTGTGGAATTTACCCAAGGAGATGAAAGCAGACAGAGTGAGGTAAACCCCACAAATATTTATAGTTAGTTCCTCGTTCTTACGTCTGCCTTGGCAAGTAGGACCGAAAGTTCTTGACTAAGGACAAGATTAAAATACCAAAGAGATTCTTCTCCTGGTGAGCTTTTAGCAGCCATGCCTCAGCAGATACAGGAAGCCAGTGTATGAACATCATGCCCCAGTGAGCCAGGTGAGACAGTATAGTTGGATGTAGCATTTGTCTTTCACCTGTTCACTCCAGTCATGTCCCATTCATCTGTCTCCTGAAATTTGGATGTTTGGCTTGACTGGCGTAGAGCGTACGAACAGTGGTGTAGAGCAATGAACAAGGAACACTAATCAGGTAAAGTCCAGACAGGACGATTCTCACACAGACTGGTAAAGATTGAGCATGAGTCTGGAATCCTAACCACTTTTACATAGGAGTCATGCCATGCATATTGAACCTACATAGGAAAAGGCAGTTTGCCATACAGAGATCCAGTTGCAGACTGCCACCACGTGTCTAAGCCCACAGCTCTGCTTGTTAGGATGGACTCCTGCCCTAAGTGCCGAGGTTCTCTAAAGCTTCGGCTTCCCATCTGGGAAACCCGAGTTGCAGGACTTACTTCAGAGTTTTGTGTCTATTTAGAAGTAGCGTATACACACTACATGAAGCTGTGAATGGCACAAGGAACTCGTGGATAGTTACTGTTGCAACCACCATAGGTGATCTTACATCAGAGGTGTGAATACCAACTCAGCACCAGCCATGGCAGTGCACTACCATTCAATACTACCACCAAGGAAGATGAGGCAGAAGAATTGTGAATTCAGGGCCAACATGAGCTACACAGTGACTTCTAGGCCAGCCTGGCCTACCTATGTGAGACCTTGCTTGAAAGAAAGAAAAGAAAAAGGGAAACAAATAAAAAACACACTGAAAATGCCTACATCAACAGGATATAGAAAACAGGAAAGTAGTCTCAAAATTATTGTACATTTGTCAAGCACATTGCCTATGGCCCTCATTTTCATTTTTCTTTATTAATAATATTATTCATTTATTTGGGGGGTTATATATATGAACAATGCATCTTCATTTCATCTTAATAACAATGCTATGTTGTATTTACTGTCAGCAGTTTGGAAGACAAAACACGCTACTTTGACAGGAAAGGAACAAAATCAAATCTTGCTTTGGGTACAATATTATAAGTATGAAATAAAAATACAGGTGCTGTCAAACATTTCCACAAGCTGAATAGCAACAAAATGAAAATCTGAGCCCAAACTGAGAAAGCAGGTTTCTTTCTGACCAAGAAGCACAGAGGTCCTACAGTGTACCCCATGCTGCCTTGTCTGCTGTCTAAATTTAAGAACAAAAGTCCTCAGCACCCTCTTCTCCAGCCAAAGAGACTCAGTGGTGGAGGCAGGTCCTGAACCATTCTGCAGAAACTCTACCCTATATACTCTCTCCACATGGTTAAAAGTCCCAGAGCCATGCCTCTTCCTGCTGGATGACAGAGGCCCCCAAAATGGGGGTAACATGTTGAGGAACTTATTTTATCTTCAAAAGAACAAACAAAAGAATTCTCTTTAGGAGAGAAAGAATAAGGAATGCTGGGAATATCACTTTAATGACCCCAATTTCCCATTCAGTAGTCAGCTGCCAAAAGCTCTGCACCCCACACAGCAGAGCCTGGCTCTTAGACAGTGGCCATCCCTTTGATTTGTAAAGATGAATCATCAAACATAAGAGAAAGCTAGGCAGCTGTCCCAGACAGAGCAATGAGATGGAAAGCTTTTAGAAATAGCTGGGAAAAAAAGAATGGGCATTATCATGAGTGGAAAAATTCAATAAGCACCTGGCAGCAGATTGTGGATTGTAACGGAGCTGGCAGACCAACTTTCATTCATTTCCTCAATCACCTCTAGGACAGCATCTAACTTGGTACTCCTAATATGGACCATCCCAGGAACATTTTTTGGACAATCCCCAGGCGCCAGACAAACTCAAAAGCCAATGATCACCCTGCCAACTAAGCAGGCCCTACCTACATGAACTTCAAGATACCACTAGTGCTTCCAATATTAAAAGCAACGGCCATATAAGACACAATTAGAAATCCTAGAATAATAGACTCCAACACATTGCAACACTCCTGCCTACTCTGAAAGATCGTCCACTAAATGCTCATTCAAGATCCTTGAAGCAGGCTGCCCTGTGCTTATAGGTAATATCTGAAAAGCTGAATGTATTTCCCAGACTCCCTTGAAGCAAGATTCTGAGTTAGGTCTAATATTTATAAGCAGGTATGCTTAAATGAGATACTGAGGTGTACATGATACAGGAGTAACTCACAACAGGGACCAAATTGGAGATATTGGATACTTACACGCATACACGGGGTGGGGGAGGGGCAGAAGGGCCTGATTTGGTGAGTGAGCTATGAATGATTTTTTTCAGGCTCTGAATCATTGCATTCTATGCACTGAGTAGGGGGTAATTTCAGCAGAAGGATTCTTGCTAGAACAATCCCATGTGGGGTAGTTAGATATTTTCCCTGGATCTGTTGCCTTTGGCTGTATTGTACTGGCCTTGCACTATCCAAGCCAGATCCACTGGGCTCCTGGGGAGTCTTTGAACTATATAATACCCTTGAATAAACTCCCTTCTGCTTAGCCAACTCGTGTGGATCTTGATGCCCTAAAATCACTGGCCAATGCAGGGTTTTCCTAATTAAATTAAACTTGATTAAAACCCTTTTGTTTCCTAAGCAAAAAAGAGCTGTACATTTATTTCCTCAGCCATCACTGCTAGGCTGGCAATAATTAAGTTCTGATCATATCTTCCAGTCCTCAGAGCCACACTGCCTGGATGGAACCCTATACCTACTTAATGTACCAAATACATCCCATTGTTACCTCTCACTTCTTCTGGGTATACAATGTTGAAGTTCTCTTTGGGTTAGGAGGGTTACCCACATGCAAATGTGGAATCCTTAGGTAATGAGATTTAAGAGCATACCCTGCCTCATTGAGATTGTGTGCTGAGGGGTGGGATTTGCATAATATTGACAAAACGGCAGCCACTATTCTACATTTTAAGAGGCTGTGTTGCCGGAATGTGCTGGAATGAATTTTAATGCTGCCTGAGTGGGCTAGTTAGCAGTTTTCCAATTGTTTAGAAAGGAAAATAGACATTAGAGGTCCCTTTATTTTCTAATAGCTATTTTAATCTTTTGCTGTATTAGCATCAGTCTAGTTTCAAAAATATTTTCTGGTTTTGCTTCAACTTAGCAGTAAGTATTTGAAGTTCTACCAACAACCATGTTCCATTCTGAAATTTAATTGCACAATCTTCATATTAAGGGTAAGAGTAATTTCTGAACTAAACTGTAAGAAAGGAGGAAGGAAGGAAAGAAGGAAGGAAGGAAGGAAGGAAGGAAGGAAGGAAGGAAGGAAGGAAGACCACTAAACAAACAAAAACAAGATAAAACTGAGCCTGGCCATGTGTTTGATGACAAAGTTAATGACCGGGAGAATGGAGAATTAAGCTTTAACCTCAAAGACTTGAGTCCATGAAATAATTAAATGTATTTTAATGATTGTTGGTTTTCCTCAAGACCACAATATCATATGCTGGTTATTTTGGAAAGTCTGAAAGTTATGAAAGAGTCCCTTTCAGGTATGTCTCATGTAAATGAAAAAAAAGAAAAGAAAATTATCCAGAAGACAAACAAGAACAACGTTTAGAACTCTGTCTCTGCTGTTAGACACCAGACAGGCAGGATGGCTGTGGCTGAGCCATCAAATTTTTGCTGTATTCATTTGTTTCACGAAGGCTACATCAGATAACAGGCAACTTCCCAGAAGCTCTTCCATTTAATGTGGCGAGACAGAAAGACAAAATGCCTCCCATGATAAAAGGTCCACGAGTTGACAAGATGGGAAGTGGCATGATGCAACTGAAAAGGCAAGGCATCTCCATGTCCATCGGAAGCCTCTGACGTGTCACTGAACCTTTCTGAGCCTGTTCTTCCAGAAATCTTAGAAACACTGTCTGTGTGTGGAGGGACAGAGACTATCTCCCACGCAGTCCACTGGCATGGGGCTGTACAAAGCTTGCTTCCTCTCAGATCAAAGGAAAATAAAATGTCAGAGCTTAGTTCATATTAATGTGATTTCAGTAATGTATGAGCTGGTAGAAAAGAAAGTATGAATGCGGAGTGGCCAAATCTTGACTCTGTCATTCCTTAGAGATACACCACTGGGCAGGTGCATTATCCAGGGTTTGCCTGTCTCCTCTCCACTAATGTTGCATGGGACCTTATGGCATAGTATCTACACAGTACATAGAACAATGTGCAGAAGGGAAAACGATCATGATAATGACCATGGAGGCTCTGACTTAGTATTCCCTGTTTGTCCACCAATCTGAAGAAAATGGGCTATCTCAAGGCTGAAGAAGGAAGGAAGGAAGTTGCAGACTCTACACACCGTTATTTGAGAACCAGTATGGAAATATACACAGCTCCCAAGTGTCACTGGTTTCCTTTTATTTAAACAAAGCAAAACACATCAGAGAATGTGTTTGTGTATCCCATTTAAAAAAAATCCCCAGTCTGGCACATCTCCCTGGCTCATCTTCTGCAATAACATTTATTCTTTGTGCAGAGGAATGGGTAATGCCAAAATGACATTGATGAAATCTGTTACTGTTTTAGATGGCCAGGATTGGGTACTTTTCACAAAGGTCTATTATGTGCAAGGGAAGATTATATATTTGAACAACCTATGATTTATAAGGTGCCTGAAAGATATTCTGAAGCATGAGACTCACTTGGGCCAATCCATTTTAAACAAATTATATACCCACATGATTTAATATGAATAAGCACTATAGAATGTCTATCCACTTGACATATTCTTACCACCATAATGAAAACAGAATGTGAGAAACACATCTAGTCTTCAAGCTATCACTAAACAGCAAAAGGAAAAGAGCTGCAGTATCCAACAGTCTAACTAAAAAGAAGGCCTCTTGTAGTGTGTTTATTGAGTACCCGTTAGGGTCTTTATCACTTGTAGACTATTAATGTTTGTGACAGTTTTGTATTCACCAACCTCACCATCACCATGCGCTCCTTTTCAATTTTCCTCCCCTTTTATCAAGCTCCATCTCCCCTCTTCAACTGCCACAGGGATGTCGTGTGAATACACGTCTTTTCTGGTCAGTGTTTCATGCTGAAGCAGGAGTACTTTCAGTTTGGGCGGTGTAACAGAATCTTCTAGGGATCATTCATTGGGTTAGAACTGCCAGGGGGTGATCTGGTGGGTCTGATCAAGTTGGGGCAGTGGGAATTTTCTAGGTTCCTGTGGAAACCCTTGTACACAGCTCAGGCAGAGCTTCTCTGTTCTGTGTAGCATAGGAAACTCCTTGAGTTCTATCCCTTTTCGATTTGCTAGGGATGCTGCAGGTTTGGGTTCAATTACTGCTTTGAAATAAGTCAGTCTGAAGGCTGAATCTCTAAACTCCATTTCTGAAAATGGCTCCTGTTTTTTTTAGCTTGTCTTGTCTAGATAAGTAACACAAAGAAAGTGGGTAGAAACTCCCCTGGAAGGTAGCCAAAGTCTCAGAGTATCTGTGGTCCCACAGTACCCAACTGTCTTGAACTTGGAGGTTCAAGTTTCCATTGCCAACTGCATCAGAAGATGAAAAACTTGACATGTAGAAAGAACACTCTCTGGCAAAGCACCAGCTGTCCTCAGTTTCTGGGGGATTTCTTTTTTCTTATTTTGGCTAATCACCAGCATTTATCTGAATTTCTCTTTACAATGAATCCGGCAGGATAAATTTTCAAGTGTATTTTGAGAGTCAAGTACAAGGAGAGGTCAAGGGGGTATTTTAATTTGGATTTCATTGAAGCTTACAGCATGAATTGTCTGTGGGAGCCACATGAAGTACCATAGCACAGGCAGCTTGGATAATAGGCATGCATTCTCTCACCATTCTGGGGATGGCAAGTCTGAGATCAAAGTGTTGGACTGACCTGATTTCCTGTGGGACTTCTCTCTGTGGCTGGCACCTCTCCTCCACCCCCTGTGTCCTCACACGGCCCTCCCTCTGTGTGTGTCTCTTTGCTAATCTCCTCTTAGAAGAACATCGACCATATCAAATTTGGTCCCATTCCTATGACCTCATTTGAACTCAGTTATCTCTTGAAAGTCCATACTTCTAAGTACAGTCACATTCTGAGATACAGGGTGGGGGATTATGACTTGAAAAATACAGATTTGGAGTAGACAGAATTCAATTTATCTACTTATGAAATGAAACGATTTACCACCTCCTTGGCTTCCTCCAGCTGGCATCCCACCTGCATCAAACTGAGGCTATACGGTCCTGATTTACCAGCATGAATGTGGAGCCTGGCATTCTGGGAACAAGTACTCTGCATAGTTTTAAAATTCTGTGATGAATGGGTACAGAAAGTTGAAATACTTCAAGGTGATAAAGCTACACAGTTATTAAAAGATATATATAAAGCTTATCACCTCTCGTAGAAGAGGAAAGGAATAGATACCATATCTTTCCTGATTCTGTGAAAATCATACTGTAGATAATCTAAGAGAGGTTTGATTTAAAGTTTTATGCATTATGAGTTCTGTTAGTTTATTTATCTTGTCCCAATTTTGAAATTTGAAATAGATGTTATCCTTGTATCAGCCGTCTTAACTGGCATGTTTTGCTGAGGCATTTAGTTGTATTCCTGTTTAGTTCCTAACTCCCAAGGTGTTTGTGTATGCAGAGAACTTCAACTTGAACTCTGAGACTGCCTACGGAAAGTATGTTATTGTGTTCACAAATGGGCAGTTTTCAATCGCTTCTCTCCTAGAATTTTTGGGTTTCGCCTGAGTCTCCTAGTCTATTAAAGCTGACAGAGTGACAGTTTCTTACCTTGAGGCTTGGGCTTGGTGAGTTTGCCACAGGGCTTGGAGATGGTGACTGTCTTCTGGCAGTCAGCATTGTGAAGAGCTCGTTTCAGACTTCCAGTCCTGGTCTTCAAGGCAGTATTCAGGTCACATTCTCCCCAAGCCTGGAACTGGTATTTGCACTCAGCTAAAAAGCATAACAAATTGGAAGAACAATGCTTATGAGAGCTTATTGTAGTGATAATAAGGGCACAATTTTGATGTTACATTTTTGTATTTAAGCCATCACATATTCCTATGCAGTTATAAGAATAACACGGGGGCATTCCATACATGCTTCCCCCAATTTCCCCAATTTTGGCATCTTGAACAACTGTGGGCCTATCTTATAAAATGGAAATTATGAATTCCAAGAGTGGAGTCAGATTTCAGTTTTATATGCATGAACGCATATAGTTCTGTGTATATGCATGGACATGTATAGTTCTAGCCATGTGAATGCATGTAATCAGCACCATTAATGTACATATCATCCCAATGCCAGGGTCCCATTGTCACCTTACATACAGTCACAGCCTTCCTACCTCTTAAGTTACCTACAACCACAAATCTTCTTCAGCTCAATTCATTCTATAAATGAGATTTTAAACTATGTAAACTTTTGTGATTGGCTACTCTCGTGCCCACAGAAATTAGGAGATGGTGTATGATCCTCTTGAACTGGAATGATGGGTGTGAGGAACCTAACCCAGGTCCACTGCACGAAAAGCAGGTGTTCCTAACAACTGAGCCATCTCTATGGCTCTGAGACTGGCTACTTCCTTACTTACCATAAATTTGTGACTATCAACTCACGTTGTGTAAATCAATATTGTATGTTTTTGTACAACTGAGTAACCATCCACGATATAGATATCCCAAACTTTATTTATCCATCGCCAACTAAAAGATGCCTGTATTGCTTTATTTTGGCTAATTTATATACATACAAATGCAAATTCTATTTATTCATATAAGGTGTTCTGTGAAAACATTTTATTTTCTCTGGAAGAAAAACGCCCAAGAAACTGCTGAGTTACATGGTAAGGTCAACTCATGTTTAATTTCATACAAACATAAAACAAGCAACCTCTCCAAAAAGTAGTATCTTTTTTAGTATTGCTGTGCCATTTTCTATTTCTACTGACAGTAACTACATAACCTAGTGTCTCTGCATCTTCACTGCCAGGGGTATCATAATGTTTTTATTCCAGGCATTCTGATGGGTACATAGCAACATGTCACCAGGGTTTCAATCTCTCTTCCCTTAATGGGACAGAGAAATTGAGTATCTTTCCAGGTGTCTATTTATTATTATCTATTCTCCTCATAAATTATGTCTGTTGGTATTTATTCACTATCTTCCTGGATTGTTAGGGTTGTATGTTTGCTTGTTTGTTTTGATTCTATATTGATTCTTGAGATTTTTATACATGTTCATGACAGGAGTCCTTTAAGAAACTTTTGTTTTTTTGGTTTTTCGAGACAAGGTTTCTCTGTGTAGCTTTGGAGCCTATCCTGGCACTCACTCTGGAGACCAGGCTGGCCTCAAACTCACAGCGATCAGTCTGCCTCTACCTCCCATGTGCTGGGATCAAAGGCTTGTGCCACCAATGCCCTGCCTCACAAACTTTTTTTAAGTGAGTCTTAACCATACCCCATACTATTTAAAGTCTAATTTATATGACTCTGTTGTCATTTTGGCTATCAAATGACATTTTCTCAGTTTTCCTGGCTGGTAGAGTAGGTTGTATTAAAATATGGTTGAAAATATAATGGTAGATGACAAGGATGTTACTAATTACCCTAAAATGTACAAGACAAAAACAACAAAAATCCAGCCCCTGATATCACTAGTGCTGAATCTAAGAGGAAAGCTGGCTGGTCACCGTGTGTCTAAGAAAATATATTTATTTAATTTAATATAAACATGAGTTGGCTTTGAAAATGAATTTGATAGAATTGTTCCAAAAGTATTTCAGAATAGTAGATTAAAGCAATAAGAACACAGGGTGAGACTGACCTCCAAACTGCTTCTTCCAGTTGCAAGGGATCTTACATCTCTGGGTCTTCATGGTTTGCTTGCACTCAGCACCAGTGCGAGTGCCCTCCCGGGTGCCCAGTCCACAGTCCCCGCTGGTGGGCACACACACACTCCACTGCCATTCTCCACAGTCAGATTTTTTCACCTTTTTTTCTGCAAGGGAGGAAACAAAAAGCAACCACCGTCCAGAAATGTACTGAACTCTTGAATATGGCTAAGTTCACACCTCAGAACCTCGATTGTGGAGTCTATGACTTTTATCTCTATCTGTATTGTCCAGGAAGACAGTGGGATGTCTTCTCAATGATCCAGTCAATGCATGGTTAAGAGGAGAAAGAAAGAAAACATGGGGGCAGAGACGGAACTAATACTACTAAGTCATGTGTGTGATAGAGACTGTTCTACGTGAATCACTAATATTTCCTTTTAGAAAGATGTTTCTGAATGAAGGCGTTGTCCCTCTGCCTGCTCGCTGACCACCACAATATGAGCTATTCTGCCACGCGTGCCTGCAGTGACGGGCCCACACCTCTGAAACCCTAAGTGAAATAAAGCCATCTTCCTCTTAAATTCACTCCTCAAGTGTCTGAATGCAGCAACAAACAGCTAACACACTTGTGCCAGATGAAATTTGAAGATTTGTGTATCTTTGATGAAACATTTGAGAGTGTAAAATTTTACAAAAAGAAGGAAATATTTTTCATTTTTATTTTGTTTTGTTTTGTTGTTGTTGTTTGAGATGGGGTTTCTCTGTATTGCTTTGGAGACTCTTCTGGAACTCACTCTGTAAATCAAGCTGGACTCACAGAGATTCACCCGCCTCTGCCTCCTGAGTGCTGGGATTAAAGGCGTGTGCCACCAATGCCTGGCTAAGAAGGAAATATTTCTGTCAAAATAAAAAATTCTAAGTAGTTTATAAAAAGCTTGAAAAATGAGGAGGGAATGTCTATTAGAAGTAGTAGTGGTCAGACTAAAAATTTCATTGAAAATTGATGGTGTGGTTCTGTTCTGTGGGTAAAAAGGCATAATAGAAATGTGTATAGGACACAGACTAAAAGAGACCCCCAACACCACAGCCCACTCATGACTATCCAAGGGCATGTTCATTCGGGAGCAAAATGGGGCAATTTAGGGTTTCCCTAAATAATTGAAAGGATGTTAGAAACTGTGGGAGAACTATAAGCAGGTAGCTGGGCTGCCTGGGTACCATCCAAGGAAACATCTCTCTGTGACTCCACTGCTTACCGGGTTTCTCTTTCTTCCCAGCCTCAGCAGTGTCCACAGCTGCCAAGATGAAAATGAATGCCAAGAAAGCAGCTGCAAATTTTCGACGTTGCTGCTGGTACTGTTGGGATGACATTTCTGGAAATGAAGAGAACAAGAAGAAGGTGATTTCAACCTAAGTCAGGATGAAGATTCAACTCTCTGATGAAGCATGCTATGTGAAGCTTCTGGAACACTGGGTTTTAGGAAAACTGTATTGATTATTACAAAGTGTAATTTTATCCTTTCTCACCAACAGCTGCAAAAGCAGTAAATCACGTGGTCATGGGCAGAATTTAATCATTCTTCGTATCAGATTTCACAGCCATTTGTTATGTGTGACTCTGGGGTTGTGAAAGCAAGAGAACCACGTGGCATGATTTTGAGCAGATTCCTACAATCAATCCTGTTGCTTGCATCACTTGCTAATAACAACTACAGTCATCTTCAGGATGCCTGGAAGTTCCTAGAAACATTCATGGTGTTGCAGTCACAGTAATCTTCGGTACAGCCGTGACAAATGATAGTGTACAGTAGCTTGTGTGTACTGACTGTGTTTTTTATATTTAGGCATATCTACCAATGAGCAGCATTTCTGATTCTTATTTACCCATGTTCATTTTAAACATAGTATCATCCCATTGCTCATTAGAGTGAAACACAGAAATATAGAGCTGGCATGCTATAACACTAAGAATTCATAAATGGATTTTACTCAAGAACCACTAAATCCTCAGATCTGGAGAGCAGTGACTATACATGCTCAGAAATTGAAATACTGCTCATCTCACATAAGTCAAAATCCCTAGAAAACCCTAGGAAGATCCCTGTTATACTCAAAGATGCTGTGATAACCCTCCATCAAGATATTCACCTTGCCTAAGCTGCTCTGAAAAAGCCACTGATTGCAGAAACGTGGTTGATGGTCATTTACCTCCATCTGCTGTGTTAATGGTGTTGTATAGATCACACAAAAGTGTGCAAATAATCTTTGGTTATTATTAGTGTGAGCTGTATTCCTTTTTTCCAAAACTTGCAATAGATTAGCTTTTAATGATTTTACAATTTCTTTAGTAAATAATGAGACTACTCCTGTGTGTGTACTCATGTGTGCCTGGGGGTATAATATGTGTGTGTGAGTATGCACATGTATGTGCATGGGTATGCACATGTGTGTGCTGTGCTCCCTCTATTATGCATCTTGTTTTCCTAATTCATAAGTATCTAAAATATGATACCATGGTTACTAACTAATCTTGTATCAACTTCCACAATGTTAGAATTGTCACTTATTGGAGTTGTGTTTTGTTTTTCTATCAATGACTGGATTCTATAGTATGATTAAACATATTTTACCAACAAACTAAAATTAACATTTTTACCACTTTGCCCTTTAAAACATGAACCCTGCTTAATCAACACCAGTTCCATCCCCGGCAACAGTCCAGTATTAGAAGCTTTGCTCTCCCTAAAGCTGCATTCTTAGGACAGTCTCACTGAATTGCTCCATGCAAATCAGGTAGGTGACTCCTCCTCATCTTGTGATTAGAGGTAGGAAGCCAGCCTGGACTCGATGACTTGCAAGCTTGTCAGAGTTCCCAGAGATGAGCCCCCTGTGCACCTCTGGGATATACTTTTTCCGGGGACATTCAAACACCATTTTAAACGATTGGGCACAAAGTGAACCAGAGCCCTTGCTTCCCCCAATGGCTGCCTAAGCACCTTCTTTCAGTACCTACGAATTGTGGTGACACTTCTGAAAATTCATAAAAGGCAAATTATCTCCTTTACTCGGGACTTTTCAGTTTTGATTTCAACTTAGATTTCATTTTCATGTGTAAAAATTACCTGTAAATTGCCTTACCTATACTGTTATGACATATATTATTGTGAGAATCTAAACATTCCAGATGAGAAAGCACAACTCTAAAGAAAATTTTCTGACCTAGCAATGGGGTGATGACCTCCCTGGTCTTAATAAATGCAGCCCACGAAGAGGTCAGAAGTCATTCTCATTCTCGGTAAGCCAGTTTCTTAATATCTCGGGTTTTTATGGGTGTATAAAAAGGGTAAAGGCTTTTAAAAAAAGGAAAAAGATAACTGGAATGATTAAAATTATCCAAGTACACCAAACAGTATTTAATAACATTTGAGAGCTCCAAACAACACTCAGTTAGCCTTCTGGCACGGTACCTCCCTGATCCAATAAATCTGTGAGTAATTAGTGTATGAGCAGATAGCAGGAGCATGTGGCATCTGCATAGCTGACTTATTCATCCTCAGCATCAAATAAGAGCAAAAGCTTTCCCTGCATATACTTTAACTTCACTTGTTCTCCAACATGCTGGGTACCAGATGAACATAGAAGTAAGAACAAGGCCCCCTCAGACACACATAGCAATTAGGGAAGTGGCTAATTATTTTTCACACCAAGAACAAGAAACAATGGCAGAATAAAACTTACTAAATTGGCTGAGTCCTTTTGAGAAGCCTCTTTATTTCTTACCACCTTCTGCCATCTTTGCTATATTTGACCTGCCAGACATAATTCACTGGGTTTGACAAGCTGGAGGCTACCATAAATGGATGCTGGGATGTAGTATTACTGTTGTGTTATCCCAGTGAAGCCTGAAACTCAACAAATGAAGGAATTAACTGGAGGATAGCATTCACATGTTGTATTTCCTCCTCTGAGACAGGGCTGATTAGGATGTGCAGGGAACTTCTCCTTCCTACAGCATTATAGTGGGGTCTAAGAGTTTAAAAAGGGCAACATCAGCAGTAAATGTGGACAAGGATACAGGTCCCTGTGTGCCCTGTTTGGAAAGACTAATGTAGTGTTTGGAGGCAGAAATTTTTATTCAAATGTTAATTCTACCACTCATTTTTTTCTGTCTTTGAACAAAATCAGAACATCACAACTAATTGAACTGGTTTTGATATCAAAAAAGTGGGAGTAAGTTATAGGACTGGTGATGAAACAACTGCTGGAAATGCTTCTCATAAAAGCTACAGGATACAGGCACAGAGATAATATGGAATATTAGAAATTACATTTTCAGCTTGACCTACCTATATAGCTATGTGGTTTGCATATAAAGTGTCCTTAGTGAATTAGAAGCTTGGTCTCCAAATCTAGCAAGTAGGGCTTTGTGGAAGTGAGTGGACTGTTAGAAGGACTCTGACTTTATCAGTGATTTAATCCATAGATAAATTAAAATTTTGAATAGAGTATTAAAATACAGTAGAACTGTACAAGGTGGAGCCTTTTTGAGGCATTAGGTCACTGGGAGCATGTCTTTGAAGGCCATATCTTACCCCACCCCCCCTTTTTTTTTACTTCTCTCTGCCTCCCCACCTCTATGAGATGAACAGACATGCACCTACAAGATCCTGTGTCACCTTGGCCCTAAAACAATGGAATCAGCCAACATAGACTAAAATATTTGACACTGTGAGCCAATAGAAATACTTCCTTCTTTAAACTATTTTGACTGTTTTCCACTGTGTTGAAAAGTCTGACTAATACAAAATGTTCTTTTTTATCAAAAAATAATAAATATCAAATTTGGCATTTTGTATTATATCAAAGCAAAACCAAACAAAATGTCACCAGACAGAAAAATGATTTAATTAAAATCTGCTAAAGGTTCCTTCAGGTTTCACAGGACACAAACTCATTCTGCCTTTGCTTTTTGGAAGCATAAAACAAATTCAAGAAACAATTTGAAGTATATCCTTTGAGTTCAGAGCCCATTGTTGAAAATTAGTGACTATGTCAATGCAATTCAACTTTTATGAAGTCAGGAAAATCACCTCAGTTTACAATTACATTCTACATCCTTCCACGTTTATTTGAAGTAGATAAGACAAAGAGAGCCCCAGTGCTTAGAAGTAGCTTCTAAAACTTCGGTCTTGAAAAAGGTCACAGAAATACAACAAAACCAAAGGATGAATTTTTAAACTAAAATAATATCTTAGCTCTTTGGGCCACAGGATATATAGTATGTTGACACTGGGGTGGAAATAGCCATTAGTCTCTCCAGTATGTAAAAATGATTAGTAAGTGACTGGCATGCATCTGTATGCATTCACACCACTAGAATATACTAGACATTTTGTGCTCTGCATTTCTTATCTCTTATGAAACAGTTTTTTTTTATCCTTGTAAATTGTAAAATGAAACATGAGACACTGAAAGTCATGCAAAGACACAGAATACCTTAGTGAATCTTTATCAAAATAGAGCACTGTTTCAGGCACACCAAGGGACTTTGCACAATCCTTATCCCAACTACAGCTCATTCCTCAACAAGTAACTCACAGAGCAATTCTTTCCTTGTAGTGTTTGAGGGTTTTATTTAAATATGTTTTAGACTTAGATTATTCAAAAAAAATGTAACTTGCTTCTAACATGTGTGATAGCCATTCACTTGCATTTTACATTCTTACAAACTATAAACCATGTAGTCAAAATATCCCACGTTCTGGATATTGGTAATCACTCATTTAGGTTCAATTCAATATTCCTCTGTCCAGCTGAAAATTAGCAACTGAATATAGAAGCCTTCTCAGAATGATTATTTATAGAATTCAGCAATTAGCCTTGATGTCTCCTGTTTGACACCATTCTTCTCACTCTACTGAAATCTCTGAATCACTCAGTTTCCCTAAGTTTAACATCAGCTTCTTACCTAGCTCACTAGTAGACAACTAGTCAAACATAAAAGACTTAACAGTTAAAAATTAAAACAAACCAGACGTATTACACATCTAAGTAATATTTACCTTTCTAAAGAAAAAATAAGGACAACCATGCACTTACTTAGACAAACATCTCAGGGACTTCCCTCATGTGTTCTGGCTTGGCAATATACTAAGAAATGCATTGGGGCTAAAAACATGTAGCTTTCAACTCTGGCCCCTATTAGTCTTTGCAAAATGTGTAAGTTTCTTGAAAATCGCTGTTAAATTTAAACTCTCTGTTAAATTTAATGCTGCATAGACAGAAGCATGTAAGAATCAGGAAGTGAAAACAAGTCAAACACAACAAGAACTCAAGAGAAATGAGTATATTTGATAATATTTATGATTTCT